TATTAAATATATTAAATAAATAATATATTAAATATATTAAATAAATAATATTATTAAATATATTATATAAATAATATTATTAAATATATTAAATAATAATATATTAAATAAACATATATAATACAAAAACGATTTCAGAAAAGAGGGAAGAAAATGAAAAAGAAAAAAAAAGTGAAATCCGTTTTTCAGAAAACAGAAAACGAAAACGAGAAAATGAAAACACCTTTTTTTCGTTTTCTGATTTTCACAAAAAGACAAAAACGTTTTTGGTTTTGTTTTTTAAAAAAAATTGCACCAAACACGTTTTTAACACCCGTTTTCATTTTTTTACTTTAAAAACCGTGAAAAACGAAAACGAAAACGAAAACAAACAGGCCCCTTGTTTTCTTGTCCCTTCTTTGTATCTATAAAAAAATAAATAAATCCAAAGCCTTTTTTCTTCGGCTGATATCTTAATATAATTTCTTAGTAGGAGATACCTTAATATAATTACACTACATATGCCGTGACATATATTCACTCTCCACAACTTCAGAGATTTTGTCGATTCTCAATATCAATGCTAAACATATTATTGAAATTCAATACCACATGCTAATCGAAAAATGGGTTCTACAATAAGTCATACAGATAAAATATCTTCTATATGTTAATTGTGAATATTGGACGCCACTAGTATCTATTACAATTACAAAATTCTTTTCTAATAAATCCACACAAGAAGTGGACATCTGATGGGACCCACGTGGATTGGCCTCAAGTAGGGGATATGTCCTTCGCTTCATTATAATCTCACCTCACCAAAAGATGCTATGAAGACACCCTGGACGTGCATGTTTGCAACTTGCAAGTGAGTAGATTCTAATTGTTGACTTGCAGATTAAGCACGTCCCCAACCGTTAGGAGAGGTACGCATAGACCCTAGTGCACTGCAAAGGAAAAAAATAAAATAAAATAAAGAAAGAAGAAGAAGAAGAAGAATTTTAGGAGACGTTTGGTTGGAGGATTCATACTATGATTTGAATCATGATTTATGATTCGTTACAGTATTTTCTCTCACAAAAAATACACGTAAATCGAAAATGGTTCTAATCTCATTATTCTAATCCATGAAATATAGGACGCGTTTAGAGTTTATTCTAAAATGATTTTATTTTTTGTATGAAAATGAAAATGAAAACGTTTTCAATCTCAGACAGAAATTATTTTTAAAAATGTGTTTGGTAGTTTTATCAAGAGATTATTTTCAGTGTAAAAAACCTCATTAATGTCTATCTTTCTCTCTCTCTGCTCGAGAGAGAAGAAAACGAAAACAAAAAATGAAAACGACTAAAAGTCATTTTTTATTTCTCTCTCATTTTACACTAAACTAAAAAATCGTTTTCATTTCCGTTTCTTGTCTTTATTGCGCCAAATGCCGTTTTGAAAACTTTTTTATTTTTTCTTTCCCAAAAAATGTGAAAAATAAAAACGGGATCAATTCTAAACACGGCCATAATTTTAAAAAATGAATGCCTGACCTACAGATTAGGCTTCCCATTTAGGCTATACATTGATTTAAATTTTAATTGAGTGCTTTAATCAGTCTGAATTTTTATGCTCTAGCAGTTAAGAAACCAAGCACCCGTCATTATTTGCAACGGTACTAGACACATGGAAAACCCAAAAATTCCACCACGAAGAGTCTCATAACTGATAAAAGATTCTTATTGTTGATAATATTGGCAAATCTAAGAACACACATAATTAGTAATATCCACTAGGAGTACAGACAGAAAGAAATACAACTTTACATACAAGCAACGTTCTAATAACTTAGTGAAAGACATAATTAACTTCACATTCAACTTTCAGTCTTCCTTAAACTTCCTAATTAAGAGCTGACAGATCCATTCTCTTTCACTTCCTTAGCTGATGATGTTCCATTACATGTACATTTCCCATTTTCTTTAGCAGAATTTTGTTCACCCTCTTTCTTCTCTACTTTTTCTTCTTTCTCAGCCTTGAGCATTTCTTCGTCTTGAGCCTTCAATTTTGCCTCTTCCTCCTCCTTCAACTTCGCTTCTTCCTCGGCCTTCTTTTTGGCATCTTCCTTTTCCTTCTCAAGAGCTTCAATCAAATTCGTCAAACACGTATCAGCATCTTCATCATCAGACTTAGGCATAATATTCTCCGCAACATCAGCAGGAGTCATCTTAGTTTCCCCCAACAAACACTCGATCTCCGCGAACAATTCATGCGATTCGACATCCAAGTAGTTCTTAGCAAGCACTTTGAAGGACTCGAAGCAACAATAAGACAACTCTATGCGCTTGTCCATCCTTCCTCTTCTAATGAGAGCAGGATCAAGTTTGTCCACATAATTAGTAGTGAACACAATAATTCTCTCACCGCCACAAGCCGACCAAATCCCGTCGATGAAATTCAACAAGCCCGAAAGAGTAACCTTGCTCTTGTTCGCATCTTCCATCTCTTCAGCCCTTTTACGAGCAGGGTCCTTCTCTTCTTCATCTCCTTTCTTCTTCTCCGCCTTTTCCTTCTTTCTTTGGCCAGTAAGATCAAGAGAGCAATCAATGTCCTCAATCACAATGATGGACTTATTGGAAGTGTCTATCAACAGCTTCCTCAGCTCGGTGTTGTCCTTAACTGATGTGAGTTCCAAATCATAGACATCATAATCTAAAAAGTTAGCCATGGCGGAGACCATGGTTGACTTACCAGTCCCCGGAGGACCATAAAGAAGATACCCTCGTTTCCAAGCCTTGCCAACTTTGGCGTAGTACTCTTTTCCCTTCTTGAACTTGAGCAGATCATTGACAATCTCCTTCTTCTTCTTAGGGTCCATAGCCAAAGTGTCGAAGGTCGCCGGGTGCTCAAAAAGGACATGGCTCCACTTAGTCCTCTTCGCACCATACCAATTCTCATTGCTGCCATTGGTGTAAAGCTTCCTCTGCCGATTCTTCACCTCTATTGCTTTCCCTTCCTTGAGGACATGGCCAAGATAAGAAGTGGTGATTAGGTCTCGGTGACGTCTATGGAAGGTAAGCGTGTAAGACCTCTTGTCGTCCGAGTTGGGGTACCAACTAAAGCTGTTGTTCTTTGGGGAGCTTGTGTGGGATGTCCACCAAAGTTTGACGCCTTCGAATTCGTCGGTGACTTCCTCGTTGTCGTCAATGCTAAGAACGAGGGACTTGCTGTCTTTGATGTCGTGCGCCTTGAGGCGCTTGGCTCGCGCGGAGGAATTGGCGCTGAGGTAGGTTTTGATGGTCGTGTAGACCTCATTTCGCTTGAAACGATCACCGGGGTACTCATCAAATTTGATACGGATATAAGGGTAGACAAACCCCAACACTATGTTGGAGTATTTTCCGAAGTAACTTCGGAACTGATAAGGAAAATATTGTTGGAACATGGCATAAACAAACATCACGCTGGCCATAATTGAGCCCACTTGAGAAAACATATGGCCCATATTGGCCATCATTTTTTCGAACTATTTCAGTGTGAGTTTTTACTAGCTAGATTGTGAATTTTGAGCAGCGTTTATAGAGAGAGAGGAAGAAGAAGCTTTATGCCTTAGTGACCAAGGCACTTGATGAATTTCCTATTAGCTTTTGTCTTGTTTCCTTCTTAATTACAAATAAAGAAAGACTGAAGAGGAGACCAGACTCAAGCAGTTTTGAAAGTTTCCGGGCTGCCGATTTTTGTTTATTTGCGTGTATTTTTCAATGGGCCCACTTTAGGAAGGTGTTTGTGAAAATTAACGGTGCATGCAAATAGTGTCATATAATAGTCAGCCGCCATTTTTGACGGTAGTGCTGATTAGGTGCAATGTTTATGGTGATTAATTAGCAAAGAAAAAATTATCAAAAATTTCTATTTTTCGATAAGAAGAAGTTCAGAGTATATGAGTTATCGTAAGGAGTACTTTTGATTGTTCATAATTAGCATAGCATATAATGGTAGGTATCATAGTAATATTAAATTGATGATTACTTCACTTCCCAAAAAAAAAAAAAAAAACTTATTTTTCTATTTTTCTCTGTGAAGCCAAGTTAACATACTGATTAAAATATATATACACACGTATTATTTTTTAAAAAAACTGACGTAGTATCACCGGTGTCATGGTAGGCGAGGATGGAAATTTAAATCTGTAAAAATTTGTCTGATTTTCGTCCTTCTTTTACTTTATTATCATTTATTTAAAAAAAATACAAACTCTATTTTTAAAGTAATATTTGGGATTGTTCTTTTGGAGTATAACTTGAGTGTAGTTTTTGAGTTGAATTTGAGTTATAACTTGAGTTGAAATTATAATTTGAATAAAGTTGAGTAAAATTGAATAAAATTAAAACTTAAAAGAACGTAAAGTTGAATAAAGTTGAAAATTGAGTTGTCTTTTTTTTGAGTTTTTTAGACAAAAGAATATGCCCTTTAAGTTCTTGTCACTATTTGAAAGGGAGGGGAACTTTTCTTGCATCGAAGTGTGAAAAGAAATACGGAATCCTCCACAAAATCTTGTTATAATGTTATTGGTTTCCTTTTTACTTTTCTTGCATTCGGTTGTGACTGAATCCTTGTCGTTGTATTTCCTTTTAATTTTGCGTTTTTCGCACCACAGAAAAGGACAATAAAAAGTGATGGAAAGAGAATAAATCACCACAACAATATCTAGCTATTATATTGAAACGTGTTCAATCGGCTATTTAATGTCACTGGTGTTTCGTTTATTTTACAGGTCTAAATTGTCACTGGTGTTTCGTTTAATTAGAACACCGAATTCAGTACACACAAAAAAAAAAAAAAAAAAAAAAAAAAAAAAAAAAAAAAACAACAACAACATCAACTTGATTAAAAAAAAAATGGCAGAAAAGGACACCAAATTCGTTTTTTCTTCTTGGCCATTCAAGTTCAATGTTCTTGCACTTAAGAAATGAATAGAAAAACGGATGAATAGTAATTAAATTCAATGAGTTCAGAAGACAATTGGAATAGAAATGAATAGTAAAATAGAAAAATGGGATTACGAGAGGGGATGCGATTTTAGAGTGATTGAATGTAACACTGCAAGAAAAACGGCACCGGTTACACACAAGCTAATGACTTAAGAAAGCCTTTCTTTTGCCTTTACTTAACTCTAGCTAATGTAACACGGCACCGGCTAATGTAACACTTCATGAAAAACGGCACCGGCTTAAGTTTTGATAGTTTCCGCTGTCGGCGGTTGAATCCTAGGATTTGACGGCACATTTACAAAGGCAGACACTTTACACCCATTAATTCAAGGGGGTTAATCAAGCCTATATCTAAGAGCTATAAATGTGGGCCGCCACCCTCAACCCGGGCAAGCTTAGGAAGCGACATGGGCTAGGCGGACCCGTTCACGAGAAATTGAAGCCCATTCGGATTGCTTGGATGCAAGCAGGAACAAAGAAAAAAATAATAATCGAAAATAGTAAAAAATAGGCCGAAAAGTTTAAGAAAGCATATAGGCTAATTTTTAATTATAGAAATTAATAGGACATAACTTGTTAAGTTATAATTTATAACCAGATAAGTTATGGACAAACTTGTCAAGTTATAGTTCATAGCCAGACAAATTATGGATAAAAACCGTGAATAACTTGTCAAGTTATGGTTCATAACTAGATAAGTTATGGACGAAAACAGTAATTTGGCCTATTTATTAACTTATGTAAACTATTGACATATTAATTTTAATTCATCTCAAGTCTTGGCCTATTTCTCTCTTTCTTCCAAAAAATAATTACATAAAATGTCTATTATTCAAGCTATATCTTTAAAACATCAACTATTTTACAATATTGTAAACATGTTGATTTGAATTTTATAATGTTTTTTTTTTTGAATTGCTCTTATGTGGTATTTTAGACATGTTCTTTTTATGGTTAATTCTTATTTTCTATAATCTGATTTATGTAGTGTGTATAACATAAATTACAGTAAATGAGATATTTTTAAAACTAAATTAACTAAATAGTAAAATTTAAACTATTTAAAATAAATATTTTATTACTTACGACTCGACACGTGATAAAAAGATTTTATACCACATAAATTTTCTTTTTACAATTTTTTACTAGAATTTTTTTTTGACAAGTACTACATACATTTTTAAATTACAATATTTACTTTAAATAATTCAAATATATATTATTTATTTAATTATTTACCGTAATTTTACTTATATGTTTATTTATGTAAAAAATTAAAGCTGTGATAAACTATGTACTTGGTTCACAACCTCGTTCTCGTTTTTAATATAAGTAGTCATAGATTTCGATGACGATCCTCAATCGATGTCGTTTGCATCTTTTCAATGTTTCACCTTGTTGACGGTGAAAACTCGTCAACAGAAATAGGCCGGGTCACCTTTAGGTATCTCGTTGGATGACCAGCTTGATATTGACTGTGTACTCAATACATGCAATGAAGTGTTTGTTGTATTTTTAAAATGGTGATCAATATGAGAAGAAATACTTGAAGTAGAAGAACATACAAAATTTATAGTGGTTCACTCTTATAAATGAAGAGCTACATCCACTGTAGGTTTATATTCCTTTTGAGATTGTTACAATTTACATCAACAATTGCTCTCTCATTTTTTCTCTCTTAGGAAGCCAACCACCATCCTGTATAGGGCTTCGCCCCTTTTATAGCCGAGCTTCCTTCGTCGGGTGGGTTTTCTTTGTAGGTAGAAGCACTCAAGTGGTATGCCCTTCTAGGCCCAGACCGTAGCCCACTAATCACTTTTGCGAGCTGTTGACTCAGCCAATTAGTCTCCCATTACGGCTCTGTGCGTACCTGTAACCCTTTTCTATCCCTTGTAGGGCAGTTTAAGGGTTTGCAATTAATGCCTGTACTGCAGACATCCCCCATTTCTGCATGCAACTTGCGATGTCAGGCTTTCCCCTTTTGGGGCATTCTTCTCGCCGTCTCCCGTCGTAAGGTCGATGGTACGACCTGTCGTCGTCATGAGGAGTCGGCGTCCTAAGTTGGGCTTCCTTTGTAGCAAAAGGAAAGGGAGTCCCCAATGTCGAGGGTTGTTGCCTTTTGAAGAAAAGCAAGGCCACGTGTCACACTGTTATTTTTCCACGCGTCATCCACATTTTCCCACACAACAGTTGCCCCCCAGGTCGAGGGTTTCTTTTAGACAGCCTCGAGCTTAGGTTCGGTCGTACCTTCGTGCTTCGGGTGTGGGAACCTGATCCCGAGCCTTCGTTTGCAATGATGGTCTGGATGCTTCAGATTTCCTCGAGGAACGCAACCGTTACGTCGGTCGCTTCCTCATGCTGACGTGAGGCCTCATTTCGAAAGGGCGAATGTGAGCCTTTGGATCGCGTCCCTTCATTTTCTCGCCTTTGTCTGCTGTCGTCAGATCTGGGCGAGATGCCCCTGCCGTTGAATTTCATGAAGTTCGTCCAACGGTCAGGGGTCGAGGGCTTGCTTCTCCTTAAATATCCTTCGAACCGAAGCCATTCTTTCCCAAACTTTTAGAACTTCCATTGCTCTGCCTGAATTTCTCCTCGTGAATTTCTGAATTGCGCTCCTTGCTTCCTTTGGTGCATCGTGAAGCTACTTGGTTTCCAGACTCCGCCCAGACTCTAACTTACCGGTAAGCTTTAATCATTGCTTATTTGTGTTGCTGGATGATTTCACTGGCTTTCCCAGTGAATCATATACATGTGTTGATATGCGAAATGTAGAGGATAATAACTTACTATGCTTTATTTGACCCACGTAGGATAGTTTTTTCTAATTTCTGGTTGAATGTAAGTCTCTGGCTTTTGGGCTCTGATGAACCTTGGTTGTCACGAGCATTCGTCGTTACCATTTGTATATGAATGGTCGACGTTATGTTGAGGCATTTTAGCAGTCGTCGTTTAGAATGGTCGTTGCTTAGAACGGTCGTCTTTCCTTTTCCTCTAGACTTTAGGACTTTGACTTAGTTCCTTGTCTTTTTAATTATCAGAATAATGGCCCAAAACCCCCCTGTCGAGAGGATCCTTCCGCCGTCCGACCAGACTCATCTTCTGTGGAAGAGATTTCATGGTCATCTTCTTCTTCAGGCGTCGACTTTTTGCTGAGGGAAGTAGAAGACGCTGAGGCCGTGTTTGGACCAGGCGACGACTTCGGCGATGAGTTCGGTAGTGTCGACCACATGATAGAGGAAGTGGTTGACAGAATTCCCTTCACGTGTGGCAGCGTAAGTGGGGTTGCTGCCTCGCTAGTAGATGCCCCCCTGGCTGCTACGAGTGGAGATCTGGAGAGGCCTTTCTTTACGGCCGACATCGTGGCGTCGAGGGTCCGGAATAAGGACATTATCCGGGCCATCAAAGAAGGCTGCATTGATGGGAGGTGGTTTAAATACCTCATCCCGGATATACATTTTAGGACTAGCATGCCTCTGACCGGATACCTCCCTATTTATACCAGAGCTGTCACGGCGGGGATGACCCTTCTGGTTCATCCCTTTGTAAAGAACTATTGTCATTTCTATGGTATCTCCCTTGCTCAGTTGGCGCCGAATTTTTGGTACTGTTTCGCCGGCGCCTGGATTTTGTGGAGTCAAC